TCATTAGACTACTTGTGATCGGCCGTACATAACCACAAACAAGGCAGTTGTATGTCCGTATCTAGCATGGGAGTGAACATTTTACGAACTTCGGAGATAGCATCAACGGTTCACTCTCCCCAACATTAACAAGTGCTTCGGTTCTTGTTCTGTGATGGCAGGCCCGAGCTGACCGGAGTATCTTTGGTCACATGTCATCATGCAGTATGACGGACCACAACAAATACTGAACAGGCTCATCATTCACAAAATATGCACTGGAAACTTCAAAACTCCGACGAATGCGAAGTGACGATTGAAACATCTCCGCTTCCGTAGAAATCCCTACGCCATTTTTCCTTTCCGCATGTCGCAACAAAGGCGGAAGTGGGCGAGAACTACCAGCAATTTAGTAGCAATTTCAGAGTCCTATACCATGGTAGTTAGGTGCGCAGGAGCCGCGCTACCGGGGCGCGAAGCGCTGAGGTCTGACACACCAACTGCCTTATATGATGCCATGAGGCCCGAAGATGGCAGTAATTACCTGGCGACCGTGAACCACCGGCAAATAAGCTGTTTTCCATTACTGCCATGTTGTTGGGTTCTTGAATCAAAGCGCTGGACAACTTCGAACAAACAACTCCAGAGGTCATTCGGGGATCCACCTGTGCTCAAAATTTGCCGGAAACTTCATGGAAACGTTCGCTTCGAGATTGCGATCATGCTGCGGCGTCCGAAGGGACCGATGCTTTCTACAGCTTTGGTCCTGTGGTGTGGCGAATAGTTTGCGGGCCGGATAACTCAATCAGGAACAGGCTCTTGGTATTAGATGTTGAGGTATTCGAAGGTATCCGAAGTCGAGTGGCGTATGATCCTTAACAGTACAACTGACGGCTCACGCCATATCCTGCAACGTGGATTCTTTCCACCAATTCCGGCAAGTCGACAGAGACGACCGCAAGAAATAGTGGACAGAAAAAGGGAACCCCACGCACCAGACCTCGAGTGTTTCCGGCATTGGAGGACTACCGTATTATCCACCAAGTTAGTGACAAGCCCTCTGCACTAAATGAATATTTGCGAGTTGACGATTCTGCCGCTGGCAACGCGGCCGAGCGCCGGTGTAAGGACCAGATATGCACGCTGCAGCGCACCCCGTGGATTCCGTAATGGTTACCAACGGCCGCCCGCCTCGTTAAATTTCCGCAGCACCCGATCCTGTCCATCGCGAGTCCCTGTGGTAGGTAATGGAACTAGATGGCTTGCAATCGCTACTATCCGAGTCTACCACCATCCCACTGCTGTGCGTGTTCTGGTCTACGCCGCTCGTCTGTCGTTTATCCCGTTCAACTAGGTCGCCGACAGGAATCCCGAAATACCATTCACGGTTTTTACGGTGCTAAATTTGCAACCAGGTACTGCCGAGGACGGAGCCTGGGAAGACTTTGTGACTGATTTAGTTAATTGGCCACGACACCTCAATCCGACGCTCGACCAGAAGAAGCTCTAGCACAGGAACGAGTTGTAGGGCATTTACGTTTAGCCCTGCTTACTACTTGAGCCAGTGATATGCGACAGTATGCATTCCCAGTCACAGCCGACAAAGTGCAGGTCGGACAGTTTGTGTTTGCACTAAGTGCTTAACGACCGAGGGCCCGAATCTGACTTCCGGATGGGCTCGTACCTCAGATTATTTCCTCTCTTGGTGGTGACGGTTACTAGCCAAGAAGACTGTCCGCTGGCGTCAGAGGGCAGACTCGTTTGAAAAAGACTAAATAGCCTAAGACAACCCCAAAAATCGCATTTTCCGCATAAATGCCGAGAAAGTGCACCTATCACTTGCGAGAAATACTACGTTTGGCAACTTATGCAGGTTTACCATTGCCCAGCCCTCAACTTTGTTAATCAGGCCACCACGCACGTGCGCACCGCAATAGCCCTAGCAGTGACCCTCTTCGTCAGAGAAAACCTCTAGAAAATAACCATGTCAATTAATTGTCGGTTGGCTGATTTACTACGAATCAACGACCTCCATAACCATTTAAACGAGACACTCGACAATGACATTAGAAGAATCCCCACTGGGTAACCCAGCGTAGAGGATGTCCAGCGGTACGATTGCAAATTGGAACTTTCAAAACGGACTGAACCACTGCTTCGAAAGCCCGATCTAAAGCGGCGAAAACTCGCCTCGTTCGGAGATTTTACTGAAAGTAGATCGTTATGAGGGGCTTAGATCATACTATTGCTCCCAAATTAAACACAAGAAAAGGGAGTATTTTTGTACAAATGCAGACAAGAAAGGGTCAGCATCAACGCACATTCATTCGCCCGCACAAACGCAGAATGTGCTTAAATGTGCATCGTAAGGAGAAAATATTACATGGGCCGTATTAGGGGGTTAGAAAACAGCAAACTTATCAGATAACTGGTTGTTGATGCTGGCAGAAAGAGGAGTCTATTGCCCTGCTGCCGTTTGTGTGCGCCTTTTCCGACTTTTGGAACACTGTTCCACAGGTCTGCGGACCAGCGGAGACGTGTCTGAGCGTTTTATGTACATAAGAAATATGGTGCGTATGGTGGACATGCGCATTTCTAAAAACAGCAAGCAAGCGTCAGAAGTAGAAAACATTAAGGACATGAACTGTGGACATTGCTCCTGGGCAGAAGACATGAAAAAGTGGCAGGGTCCAAAAGGTAGAAGAGGTCATAGATCACATGACGAAGCATACCGACGAGACCGGAATCGGAGCCGGAGCACAGCTAGACTGAAAGGTCTCTGCAAACTGCATTAGCGCCAGCACGCGGTTGAGGAAATAACAGCCAAAGTGGACTAGGTGGCCCGAGTATGGCGCGACACAGAGTGAACAGCCATTGGTGGGCGATAGGGGAAAATTAACCCAGAGAGATAGACAGAGTACCGAGTAATCAATAATCGTTGTCCCCATCAGCTTCAACATCCTCATCACTTTCCTCAGGCTTTGGTGGTCCCTTGTTTTTGTCTGACAAGACATCCAAGAACTTGAAGTCTTCAGTGGTCATTTGGATGGCCCACTGAAATTTGTCCCGTTGTGTCTTGTTATACACCTTTTCCACCGGGACATTAAGCTTCCTGCACCTGTAAGACGTTAGAAAGAAATACCGGGAAGTAGGGGTGGCAAAATGAAAATCGGTGATGGAAGAGAAAGTGGGTAAGCGTGCGGGGAGTTAGGACCAAGTCTTATAGCCATATAAAGACGGCCAAAGTGCGGCCTATAGACCCAAAAAGCAACCGTTTGATTCAAAGTCCAAGTGAGCCGCTCTCTAAGGAACAAACAAAGTCCGAACGGACTTGCTGATAGCACATGGATGCATGCAGTGATCAGGTTAGGCTTGTCGCTACAATTGCAACCTAGAATGATGGCCTTTCACAATAAAACCAAAGACATCTCCAAGAGGAAATTATGAATCCTACAGTTGCTATCACCAGTGAAATGGGACCGCTCGGATAAGGCTAGAGCACACATACTCAACAGTGTTAATCTGGACTGCGATAAAGTAGATTCTAGGCGGGCGGTGGGTACATTGAGAGCAACTTATTCAGGTGGGAAAATGTAAAGTTAAGTTTGCGACAAAAGAGCAAACAGCACCAAGACGTCATGAACATCTCTGCCTTCCGACAACCTAAATAGGAAGACATACTAAGGTTCAGCGCCATGTTACTCCGTGGTTTAGGTAGTTGCGTACTCGGCAGAATTCTAAGAGAGGATCGGAGCATCACGCCAACTGTGCCATTGATATTCAACACCAGAGGCAAAAGTCTAGAAACAACGGACTATTTGTGCTTTAACAGGAATCCCTCAACAGAACCTCAAAAGACTTACCAAGCAATTGTAATGCGGGGGTCAAGGTAATTCAATTTACTGGTCGAGAGGGCAATGTCCTTATTTTCATCGCGATCCGTAGCCTGCACCTGGAGCTTGAGTAGCTGTTCTTTTAAAGTGGCCAGCCGCTTTTTTAATTTTTCGTACTGTACTTTTTGAGACGCCTGTTTGGAATGTTTCCAGTCAGCTTTGATCTGTTTTGCCTCGCGGGTCACTTCGCTGATCTGCTCCTTCTTGGCATCAATCTGAAAAGGTGATACAAATAAGGTAGACTGTTATTACAAGGAAAGAAAATTTAAACCGCATTGTTTGCGGGGATGCAAGGCCACAACTCCTGACTTATACAAATATAGGTTAAAAGCAGCAAGTGGGCTGGGTCAACTGGCAAAAACAATAACACGCTTAATAAGCGGGTGCACAACAAGAGAAAGTGTGAAGAACATTGACTAGTAAATAATGAGGGGCGAATAATAGTCGATTGGAAACAACTTATGGAGTCAACTAGGATAAATTTATGAATCGAATTCAAAATGGGAGTTGCCTTTTTTTGAAGATTCTCCATGGACTTTGCGAACGTCTTCGGAACCGCGCGCTGATGGTTGCACAGGACGGCAACAGCTCTGTTGGCACGATTGTAAGACAGGAGTTTCGCAGCTACATTGTCGTCTGGATTTGTCAATAATTCTAGCTGTTCCTCCAATGTTCTGCTAGCATTGTAAGTACGGAAAACCTTCGCAGTAAGACCCTCCATGAGCTCTCGCAGATACTGGTTCAGAATTGAAGTCTGATGAAAAATAATGAACCAAGAACGCCAGAAGACTTACATTCAGACGATCAAAAAGATCATCGCTTCCTTGCTTGTTCTTCATAAATAATTTCAAATTTTTGAAGACTCGTTTCGGGACAGGAACGGAATTCTGGTATCTGATGGAATCCTTTCCGAGAAAGTCAAATTCAACGACAAAGGGTTTTCCATCTAGCTCCTCATGTAGAGTGACGTGCTCACACCTCAGAGAGCAGCAGCCAACAGTATCTGCTTCGTCTTCATCCTTTTCGTTACCCGCACGCAGAGCAAGCTGCAAAATGTCATTTAAGCATGTTGAACCATTTAATAGTCTTTTTTTCTATGCGTAGAACTGAAAAGTGCACTTGTAATGGCAACAAACGCGCACAGATGGGATGGTGCTGCAAATGACCTAATGGCATAGGCAAGCCAGACTGAGAAACATGACTACGCAAGAAACCGTAGATCGATGGATGCCTTAGAGGGCTAACGACGTGCACGGTCGTCTCCAAACAGTGTGAATGATACGCCAAGTGGCAGAGGACTGTGGTGGCCGATCACAGCATCTACTTAGCCTGTTAAGACAACTTGAACGGTTAAACGCAGCAGACAAGAAAACAAAACTCGCTGGAAGTACGAACAGTTGAAGACCATTTTGATCAAATCTTAAATACCCGCAACGTGAAGAGGCTTCCAAGAAGAAAGGAGGAGGAAACATATGAGTCTGAATACGGGTGGATTACCTTGTCAATGAAATAGAGCGCGACCGCCCTTTGTCGGATGCGCATTTCCTTGCTTTTGAAGTCAGTCCGATAATCTGCTCGGATTTTGTCAACATATTGGTGTAACTTGCGCGCAGTTTCGTACTTTTTCCAATCTTTCTCACCCTGAGAGAATGCAGTTCACCAAATGACCATACCTTTAGCCTAGAGGACGCGTTCAACATAATGTACTTGAAATTGCTTTGTATATTCTCTATCCAACAGGCCAGCCAAGTAACTGTATTGTCGTGGCGCACTTCCTTCCACTTATGGCCGGGTGGGGGAATGGGAATTTTTGAGTCTTTCGAACAATTAATAATAATATCTTCGGGCATGATCCGCTTCTTTAGCATACCCATCTTTGGATGATCCCCACGGCCGCGGAATAGATTTGGCGGTTCTATTTTGAAGTTTGCAATTCGCTGTTTGTGTCCGTCCAGTGTGCAAAATCCATATTCGTCAGCAATAGCCTGATTAGCCTCTTTTATTTTCTGCTTTTCCTCCTTCGACATATTCTTCCGTTCTTCGGACTTTTCTTTGAAGTATTCGAACATGGGTTTGAAGTCGCACTTGTCAAGCCGCCTTATTATTCTCCTTTCGTCTTCAGTCATCGTCTAAAGGAATAATCGAAGTTAAGCGTAGTACCTTTTGCCAATCACGGAAAAAGTTATTATTAAAGATCTCCTTTGTAGTGTACTCGTGGTCGAGCATACGTGCGTAAAACCCAGCCACTTCCTCCGCCTCCGGAGATAAACGCATTTGAACGCCGTCGTAGTAGAAACGAACGCTGGGAGGAAGCGGCTCATATGGGGGCGCAAACATGGGTCCTTTGTGCTCCAAGAAGTTCCACTTGACGCGATCATCCTTCTTTTCTTCTTCCCACCATTTCCAGAGGTTCTCTTGCTCCTCGTTTTTAGCTGCTCTTTTTTGGGGAGTGGACTGTTCCGATTTGACGCTTGTTTTTGTCTTTTGAGGGTTTTGTTGGGTTTGGACTTTAGGCTTGACATCGTTGCTTTCGAGCTTACGGCGCTTTTCCTATGAAAGTAAAAACAGTGTGTTAGGACTAACCGGCAGTTGCGGAGGGCGGGTCACAGAGAGCCTCTTCTTAACGTCTTCCATCCTAGGAGGTGAGGAATAAATGGAGGATGGTTACTTTTGTGATAGGGGGATGTCATCCTCATCACTTGAATCTGAGTAGTGACGTTTCGCCCTGAACTTGTCGGCCAGTGGTTGATTATCCTCATCCTCTACTTTTATGTCGCGGTGATTTCCGTTACTCATGCTGACAACGTCAGGGATGGCCATTTAACAAACTGAAATGACAAAGACTGTAAGCAAGACAGCAAAATGCACACACGTACGGGAGGAGAAGGCGGAAGACAAGATGAGTCAGACCTGAAAGGCCAGCCCACTCCCTTTGAACGTAGCTAGATGGTTAAAACAAGGACAAATCAGGTTGGATGTCCTCGAAATTTCCAGAAAGCACAAGAGAACTAAATTTTCTGAAGTTAGGGAAATTGAAGATTCTGTGCAGTCTAGAAATATTTTGGTGACTCTTCCTCAAAATTTATTTCGCCGAAACAGCACCATGCCTTACAGCATGATTCGGAAGGGTCACGCAACCGGGACGGATACAGAGTAACGTCACGATAACAAGTAGGTGGGTTATTGTTGACAGGAGGCATATTAAAAGAGGAGAAGAAATAGAAGCAAGTAAAATTACGCCGGGAATGAGGAAGTTTAACAACAGAATACGTCTTATGCGGACGAGAAGGGCTAAAAACCGAGCAGCAGACAAAGCGAGTGCAGTGGAAACTTTCTGGTTAACTATTGCATGCAAAAAAGGAACGGTAAAACAGAGCAGGTAAGAGGAAGAACTATTGCTGCACTTTTAACTGGAGAAAGATAACAACTAGGGCCGTCTGATTCGTCTTCTGGACTTAATTCCACCGAGCGCACTTTGTCATTTGCATGCCTGCTCAACGCCCTGAGCGTGACGATAGTCTAATGCAGATTACCACTTCGGCCTTCGTTATTCGATTACAGACGGAAACGTTTCGCGCGGATTCTTGTACTTTGGGACACAGTTTACAATGACAATATCTGGTTCTACTCGTGGCTAATGAATTACTACGACCATCGTCTGGCAGCTTTACGCTTCGTACCACAGTTAGGACCACCCTGAGAAGTCTGCTACTCTGGCACGTCATTTGATCATATCTCATTGCCACTCATCACACTACGACAACTGGTAACTTCTTTCGAACAATAGTTCAGGATGGTCCCGATATTCCGTAGAGTCGAGTGAGCACAGGAACAACCTTCAATAAGTTACATGACATATCATGATAGTGTTCCTTACGGGTGACTTCGCTACATGTTGACCATAATGGGCATCACATGCAAGGACTTGCTGAGGGT